GAACATCCTACGCTTTAGTTCATTCACTCTCTCGAGCTGAATGTGTGGAAAAGGATTTAGGATTCACTCTCTCGAGCTAAACCCATGACAACCCAATACCCACAGACCATCAATTCAATAATCTTGGTTTTAAAACCTCTCTCTCGAGTAAGCCAAAAAAATGAAGGTAGAATTGCATTTGTAACTACAACCCTTTAAATTAAACAACAATTACTGATTGAAATCATTTCTAAACAACATTTAAACTATCAATTAGCAATACCCATAAGCTAAATCAACCCATAATCACATTATCACACCCCAAGAATTGGGGTTTTAGCTAGACATAAAAAGATAGAAATTGTTACCAAATTGTGTTAAAATTAACTGGGTAAGATTAATTTCATCTTTACAAAGGTCCAAGTTGAAGAATCTCAAAGACCCACTTCCAATTTCTCAAAAATGGAAAACTTCAATTCTTCAAAGCTAAGGAAAATATTGTCTCAATACTCTTAGTTCAAACTCAAAAATTACTCTAATGAATGTTCAGAATAATTTTTTGATATTAAACATAATGTTTGAAAATGTATTTATAGTCGCCAAAAATCTATTGCGAAGGGCCATTCGGCGCAGTAAGTCGGGATTGCCGATCAACTCGGCGATCCGTCTTTTTGTCAGTTCCATCGCATTTTTGCTTTAGCCTCCAACATCCTTAAGTTCTGTAACTTTGGGTGATCCAACACTGCATCGCGGAACTGTTTGGCGACACGTCGACTGCTCATTTCTCTCGCCGACTTGATTTTCTCCTTCAAGGCATGGCACACTGGAACTTTAGGCGAGGTAATAGGCACTCGGCGACTCGCCCAATGGATTAGGCGATCAACATGCCTTCTTTTCTTCGTTCTTTCAGCTACCTTTTTTCTTTTTGCCCATTAGTGTCCATGCTTTGCTCCTCAATCCAAATACCTGGAAAACAAGGATTTTACGTCAGTTATTGGCACAAAATAAGCATTTGAGGGCAATAAACCTATCCAAATAAAGCCCTAAATGATTCCAAATTGTGGACTCATCAATGATAGCACCTACAGTAATTCACCAGTAGGTAAGCCAACTCATAACCCACAATGACAAGTAACGGGTATGAGGGTAGAAACGAAGAAAGGATAATCCATTTGACAGAAATAATTGGAGACTAAGGCGCAAGCAACATATATACATAAAATAAAAGATCTCTCCTAGAACCTTGAAGTCACAAGTATAGAGATACTACAAAACGAGTATAACTCCTAAAAGTGGACAAAACATATACCGATTTGTCTAAAAATACAAAAGACTAGCCAAACTACATAGAAGGAGACAACTATGATCCAAGATACCATAAGCTTACCCTCGTCTCCAAATCTCGCAGCAACTAGCTCAAAATCAATGCTAATTGGTGGTGTTCGGGCATGCATCATGAAATAGATGCAGAGTATAGCACGAGTACCAAAGCAATAGGCTTCCAGTAGGCATCAAAGGCCGACTGAGCAAGAAAAGTAAAGACAATATGAAAGGTGAGAATTAAACACAATAGAGGCCAAAGAGCAGAAATCTAACATAAATGCAACGAGTGTAGAAAAGAACTTAAATGAAACAAGTAAAATAGCTAACTAAAACCTAACTGGACCCCATAGCCCAGAAGATACACTCATGCGCAAGTTAAAATAAAAACCTGAACATACCCCATAAGCCCAATGAGTACACAAAATAACTATAACAATTGATAATGGAACTCGGTAAATCTAGAGCCAAAGACTGCATAACCCAGCCTTAAACCGCAGATAGGCCTCCCAAACTAACCAATAGAGCCAAGACGATAGATATCAACTTTGTAGAGTATAATGAGCCCAAATCACGGACTGCGGCTGGAAATCATATAACCATACCTTGAATATGCGAGCAATAATAGAGCAATATGACCAAATCATTATGACTAATGATAGAGCAATGCGACCAGACCTTGAATCTGCGACCATAGAAGCTGATGTGAAGGATCTCATGTCAAATCATCATCATAGTGCCACTGTAAAATGACATCCACTCCCAAATAATCAATACAATACTCCAAGCGCGAACCAAATCCAATCCCTAACCACCTAACAAAGCTCGATAGCTCAATCGTAAACCACATAGCCATATAAGTAGGAAGTTATTGATAGAAGGTCATCGAAGATGATTTACCGCGAAATTAAGGATCATTCTATCAGACCCAAGTCAGCTACATCACTCTATAGGGAGCTAAGTCGTCTGAAGCAATTTCAAAGGAAAACTAAGGTCTATTCGCTCCAAAACCAGCAAGTTTAAGGAAAACACTAGTCTACTCCTAGACTAAGGTCAAACATGCTTCCAACAACAACCATAAATAACTATAATATATGCCACAAGGTAAGGATGATCGAAACAAAAGAAAAAAACTAGCCAACATTCCTGAAATACCCAAAAATAAGCCTAAAACATGATTTCTAGCTAACTAAAAATGATCAACTAACTATCCAACCAAATTCATGCAAATCAACATGCATTACATTCTTAGGCTCAATCTAAAGGACGAAAATCCATAGCCTAACTCAAAGTTGACTACGCGTTCCAAATTAGAATTCTAAAGCATTTACCTTCTGAACGCGCCCATGCTATCAAAAATAGGATCACAACATTAAGATGATTGTTTAGACACCAAAATCGCAACATTTCGAGACAGACCCAAAATTGAGTAAAAAATAGAAACGTGGGACCCACATCGAGAATCCCAGAATTGACTCTATCGAAATGTCCATTTAAGCTCCCTAAACTTGTATCCCAAAATGGGACGCAATTCATGGCTCGAAACATAACAATTCAAGGATATGCATAAAATCACCATTAAAGCAAGAAAAACAGAAAAGAGGCAAGGCAGCTCCTTCGCGGTGTAATTTACCTTAAATAAGCAATCCCCTACACTTCTTAAACACTTCAACGCGTAGCTACATCTTTTTGGACGCACATGACTAGAAATCACCCAGTTTGGGCACTCACAACACAAGAAATTGAAGAATGAAGTTTCTTCCCTTAAGTTGTTTGCGACTAATCTTTTTTTCATTTAAATAAAAGATAGTCTGAATGAATGTCGCTAACACGACAATGGGACCCACGATCGCGGAGGTCCGCTCAGCTAGGCCTTTGCGAATGCAAAAGGCAAAACTCCAGGCCTTCGTGGATGCAGTTGAGGCCCCACGATTGCAAAGACCAAATCTCCTGGCCTCCGCAAACACGAATGGCAAATTGTCCTGCACCAACTGATGGACATCAATTGATTTTTGCCAATACCAAAATCCTTGATGGGGTGCTGGGGATTCGTTCGAAACCCTGTGTGTGAAAATGAGATATGTTATCCCATCAAATTTGATATTCTAGACTGAACGGAGTCATCAAAACTTCCAATCGAGGTCATCTCGATAAAAAATGGATCCTAAACACAATCCCCGTTTTAACTCAATTTCTCTAAGGGGGATCGGGATTAGCCCGGAAGCCTCGAGATTCATACGAAAGGTCTTTATAGACCAAACTTGGCGTTTCAAAGCTAACAAAATCATCATAATTGCATTTTGAGGATATCTTCCTAAACTTTTGACCGAATTCAACCGTTCAAGTTTTAGAAGTTCCAAATTACGAAACTTGCACAAAATCCAAATAAACGACCAGGTGATTGAACTGTCATTTCCAATAAGTTATAAATGACTTGGGGTCATTATAAGCTGGGGCGGACCCACCCTTGACCAAGGGTTATCAAGCGACACCCATTCGCTGGAAATTTACGTTGTATATAGATGTGAAATTTTAGTTTGATAAATATATATAAATGTATTGAAACCTCTTGATACAAGTGAAGGGTTTAGAGCCCGTTTGGATTGGCTTAAAAAAGTAGCTTTTAAGTCAAAAAAAAAAAGTTAAACTTAAATGACTGTTAAGTCAAAAGATAAAAAGTAAAGGGAGGGCTATTTTTGGTTTTTGAACTTATTTGGGAAAAAGGTCTGAAAAATACTTCAACTTTTGCCGAAATTGCTGTTATGATACCAAACTTTATGGAAGACCTTTTACCCCCCTACACTATTTAATAGTGTATTTTAAAGGTATTTATGTGCCCACATGGACACGTTACTATTTATAATGATGCAATATTTATGATGTCCACGTGGGCACATATACCTTTAAAATACACTATTGAATAGTGCAGGGGGGGGGGGGTAAAAGGTCATTTCCAAAGTTGGGTATTGTTACAACAATTTTGGGCAAAGTTCGGATATATTTCAGACCTTTTTATCAACTTATTTAAGTCATTTTAAATTTATTTTTAACCTTTCCAAACACTTCTAACTTATTTTAAGTTATTTTTATATTTTCCAAATAATTTCAGAAGTAAAAAACTGAAAAACTGTAAATTGTATTACCAGATACTTCAATGTGTACAAATTTGAAGCTTAGGTCATGGTCGTAATCCCAAGTCTCAAAGCTCATCACCCTTGGCTTGTCTAGCCTCTATGCTTTTAGTTTTACTAAGTATAAAAATCTAGTCTATGCATTGCACTAACCAATCTAGGAGTCATACTGCTTCTACAATGAATTTCCTGGATAATCTACTTCGTAATCCCCTCAGTGTTTCTCTCCCTTTTTCTGAAAAATTCTATAGTTCCTCTCTTGCTAGTGTAATTAATAACTACTACTAGTGTCATTCTATACACTTCATCTTTTATTGTTTTCCTATCACTATGCATTATAGCCCATTCTGTCTCTTCATTCTACCCTGCACTACTCTTGTTGATGGATAGCCATTGAAGTAATTTTTGCCAGATTACATTTGCCACAGTACAAGTGAAAAAAAAGGTGCTGGTGTGTTTCAGGTTCTTTATTACACAGTGAGCAAACTGAATCCGTGTGTATCCCCTATTTTTCTAGCTTGTCTTTGGTATAAAGTCTCCTTTGTATAGCCAAGTATAGAATGAATGTCCATTTAGGACTGCCTTGATTATTGCATATCATACGTCTCCATGGCACCTTGTTGAATTCCCCTCTAAGCTTTTTGTACATATCCTTAATGGTAAATGTTTGTGCCTCATTGATGATTAATGAGATGGGTGGACTCCTTATAAGGCTTGGGCAATCCTCCTCCCTTTGAGCTAGCTTTTGGGGTGTGAGTTAGGCCTAAAACCTAATTTAACATGTAAAGATATGACACCTAGGCCTAACTCAACCCCAAAAGCTAGCTCTTGAGAAGAGGTTTGTCCAAGTTCATATAAGGAGACCAAATTCCCATTCCTCTACCGATGTGGGACATCTTAACACTCCCCCACACGTCCAAACCTCAACTGGAGCGTGAACACTTCTAAATGGGGGCCCATCATCGGTGAACAACAAATTGGGATGGGCTTGGCTCTGATACATATTAAATTAGGTCTGAGGCATAACTCACACCCCAAAAGCTAGCTCAAAGGGAGGAGAATTACCCAAGCCTTATAAGGAGTCCACCCATCTCATTAACTACCAATGTGGTACTTTTTGTCATTCTTTAACATCATCATAACAAATTATATCGTGGTATAAAAATAGTAGCTATCTCAAGAGGATTTCCAAAACATTTTTTCATAACTGTGGTGTTCGAGCCAGCTTTCTCACACCTTACCTGCTAGCGCACCTTAACTAACTAAGGGCTCATTTGGTAGTGTGTATTAGCAAAAATAATACATGCATTAGCCTTGTGTATTACTAGTACATTGTTTGGTACTTTTTTCTTACCCAAGCATTAGTTATACACTTTATTGTGTATTAAGGTGTGTATTACTAATACCATGGATTTCTAGGTATTAGCAATGCAATGGTTTTAATGCATGCATTAATATGATTAAAGACTCAATTACCCCTCAAAACCTTTTTACATTTTTTCCACCATAATAGTGGAGAGTATCTTTGTAAATAATTTTTTTTAATGCAATGCATACTATTTTAAATGCGTCAAACCAAACTATAATTAATGCAAGCATAACTAATACATGCATTGCTAATGCAAACATTACTAATATACTCTATTTAGCATTATTCTTATACACTCTACCAAACGACTCCTAATTCCACAAGGGTATTTGCTACCTCCAACCAAGACATGTTTGGGGTAACTTTGTCCAAAGGGCTAACAACTATTAGAGATTTAATCCTCCACTTACCTTACCTTGGAGCTAGTGCCCCTTCTTAGTTCTTACAAGGCTCATACTAAGGTCAAATGTCTTCAAGCTACGCAAAATATCTCAATCCCCAAGGCTTTGGTCAGATTTGAAGTCAAAGTTCCTCTGGCAAGCCCATAAACCCATTCAAATTCTAGGTTACCTATAAATTCCAATCCCTTCATCATTTGTTAGCCATTAGATCCATTAGATTAGACAAACTAATAATTCACCATTTTGGAGTTACGGATTTCTCTGTTTAAATCTTTGAAGGGATATAGATGCGTAGATATGTATATTAGTCTTGAATATGTGAACTCAATCAATCCTATTAGAATACCACCTCTTCCAAATCCCAAATGCTAATATCACTATTTAAAGCAGCCCCATCAACGTCATATCTATTTGCATACCTCCCTACTTTGATGGGGCTAGAAAGGTCATTTTCAAGAGACCCTTGACTCAAAAGAAATATATTCGACACACGATTGTAAGAAAAAACACAATAAAATACCAAGATACAAGACAAGTGCAACAATTGATAGTAATACTAATTGAAAAATGAGAAACGATGCGACAACTAAACAATATTACTAAAAGAAGAAGAGGAGAGGAGGTGGCTAGCCTCCTACCTCTTCCACACAAAGTGCGACAATCCTCAACTATCTTATAACCTTTTACCCTAATCCTTGACTCCTAACCTTTTTGTCTAAGGTTACGCCCTCAGTTAGCTGAAGTTGTGTCATGTCATGTTTAATCACTTTCTCTAATTTTTCTTTGGCCTACCTCTACCTCTCTAGTTGTTACCAAAAGCAAAAAGCATTGAGGTTTGTTGGGGCTTTAAGTGCAAAGAGTAAATAAAACATGGGCTTTAATGAAAAAAGGCAAAAAGGGAGAAAACATACAGATGTATATGTTTAGTCCAACACTAATAATTATAAACATAAATGACAAATATATGAAAAAAGAAATTGATTTTTTTTTATGATAAAGTGAAATATCAATTGTTTAGTGCCGCCTCTTCAGAAGAGGATCATTGGCAAAGAAAAGTATGCCTTAGAACCTTAATGACGACATTGAAGTGCACACTAAGCAATGCGAAGCGCTCAACACATTTTGAAGCCTTGCTTCAGGGCCTAAACACACCTTTGACAATACAGTGCGCTCCTAACTCCTGCAACATCCAACCTCTCACTCCTCCTCACTAGTGCATCCTTGCACCTTCTCTCATCATGCTCGAACCATCTTAGATCGCATCCCTCATCTTGTCTGCCACAGGCCTTTCCTATCTTGCCAGTATAACTTCATTCCTAATCCTATCCCTCTTATTATTCCCACACATCCATGTGAACATCCTCATCTCTGCTACCTCCATATTTTGAACATGGGCGTTCTTGACTAGTCAAAACTCAGCCCAATACTACAATAATCATACATATAATAATATTAATTAAATAGAAACAAGAAACGTATCCATACCTTGATTCCTTATAGTATGACCTTGATTTTTCTCTCTTCTTCTTCCCCCTTCCTGTCTCTTTCTGGTTTCACGTTAGAAAGTTTCCACTTATGCTTTACGTTCTAGAAAGCTTCAGCCTCAATAACCCTTTAGATCCCTTTCAAAATGATTTCTTATTTGGTGGTGTCCTGCCCACAGTATCCTGATCTTTTTTTATTTTGAGCTAATGATTATTGTGATCCCTCTTATTTTGGGTTGTTAGAGCTTTTTTCACCTAATTGTTCAAGAGTCGGTGATATTCCAGTAAAAAGCATTGCTAACTTGAATATCACTAACTCTTTTCAAAAGCTCCTTAATCCTTATATTGCACATGAGGCGTGATTGACTTGGCATAACATGCATACGAAGAGGGTTCTTTCTCTGCAACAGATGCCTCCAGTGTGAAAGGGAGGCTGAGGATGCTGGTCACCTATTTCTACACTGCAAGTATGTTTCACCACTTTTTTTTTTGGCTGAAATGACCCATGCAAAAGGACTCAACTGAATTACTACAATGCTGGAGCTGAAGAGAATTGGACAAAGGATCCCTAACCAATATGGAATTCTAGCCTTGCATGGATCTGGTGGGTAGCACTTAGGAAAAGGAAACTAAGACTTGTAGATGGCATAATTAACAATATCATCAGCCTAATACACAGGGGCGCTCTTTGTTAGCTTTTTGGTGTAAAATGATTGATGTAAATGAGGTTGATACCCCTATAGGCCAACTTAATTCGTCGAATCATTAACTAACAAATTGAGTTTTGTTCTTCAAAACTAGCTACATATTGCATTGCAGCACCTCTTTTGTGCTGCTGTGTATCAATATAATCTTGCTTTTCAAGAGAGTTAATGTTAAGAAAAGTTAAACAAGGTCTACACAATGTTAAGGTCAAGTTATAATGCGATGAGACCCTTCATGTCTCTTGTATCAACACTGAAGTGTAATGGCTATTGAATTATTTTGGCCGTACTTTGTTCCCTATTCTGTATAGCTTTGCTTCTGAGTTGTTACACAGTTTTTCTAGTGAGCAACAGAGTTTAGCATTAATTAAGTATATTGGCTATTGACTTTGAAGCATATAAGTGACCTAGTTAGAAGATTTCTTGTGTAACCTGATCCTTTATCCAACCATAGTGCAAATAGTAGATATGGGTTTGTGGGCACTTCTATGCCTTTATCCTTTTTTTCTACTTTCATAATTCTTTTTAGTTCGCTTGTTACTATCCTCAAAAAAAAAATCTTTTTTAATTTGGTATAGCTTTATAAGTTCCTTTTGGGCAAATTTTACTAGACATGGTCTAGGTAAGTCACAAGTCAATTGATCATTCAAGCTCGATCCCAAACTAGTTAGGCTAGCCATAAAAATTCTCCGATCTATTTCATTATGCTTAGTCACTTCAGTATTTAAAGATCAGTCATAGTTAAGAATTTTTATATGCTGACCATAAATCTATCACAAGCCTCCTCTTTATCTGTGTTTGGGACTGAAGCTAATATAGGTGTGAGTTCCATAGGTTACAAGTGACAGTGTCAATATAGTGTCTGGTGGCTTTATGCATCAGTGGCTCATTGGAATATTTTCAGATGTACATGTTCTTTTTCTTTATCCGTTGTCTTGCAAATGTTGATGAAATAGAATATCTGTTTTCCTTTTTCTGATGAAGGTCAATAAAAATATAAGATCTGTTTTAATTTGTGTTTAGCATTCTTTGATTTATGGCAGAACCTTGGCCTGATAAATGAGTGTATACGTTGTTTGGCAATGGTAATCTGTATAAATAAAGCTGACCTTGTACTCTGTTTAATCTAGCATTCTATGTTGATAGCTGGTGGGGACCAACGGCTATATTTATTGCAGCAGCAGTAACTGACTGGCTTGATGGATGGGATACCTTTCCCGCAAGGTTCTCATTTCTGCTGTTTTGAGTTCCTTATATTATCATCTCTTCTGGAATTCTTATTTGGAATATCACAATTTTAGATGGTTTGACATGCCCAGATGAACTTAGGAACTGCCTTTGGTGCGTTTTTAGATCCAGTGGTATTCTCTATCGTTCTGTTTCCATTGGATCATGCTTCTTGCCTGCAATTTTGGATAGTGTTATTAGCAAAATTGCCGCATGAGATATGGGGGGAATATCCTTGTAAATATGATGTTTTTATAATTGATATACCTGTCTTCTCAACTGGAACAGTTAACGGTTCTTGTTGTGCACCAAACCTTTGGAGTCCGGTGTGTTTGGACAGCTTCCTTGGCTATTAACTGTCCCCTCGATTGCGATAATAGGCAGGGAGGTGAGTGAGTGATAATCTGTATAAATTCATGTAATTATATTTCGTTTAACCTACTTTAGTTTCATTTGGTTAATTCTTGATACTTCATAATCTCTAGATTAGAATTGGATGTCCTCAAATTGACATAAGTTCCTTTCCACAACGGACTTGCATCTTTCATTTGTAGTGTTTTAATAACAATCTGGGAAAATAAGTTCATTGTTTTTTTTTTTCAAAAAATGTTTTTAAGTAAGTCACTATATTTCTGTCTGTTTAAGTTAAAATATACAGGCCTTTTTGATACTATAAAGCTAGGGGTTAAATTTTTTGTATTGGGTATGGTTCTCGGTATTAGTGCTCCTGTATTTTGGTTGACCAAAATTTTGCAAATGCTGTTTGGCTGTTTGCTTCATCTGCTCGTTATAGCTAGCTGTTTGCTTTTGCCTTCTGCTGTAACAAAATTACAACTATATGTAATCAGTGCTAAGTACTAACTGCCAAACCGCTTTAAGTGTTCATTGTTTGAGACCCCTAAAGTGAACTCAAAAGTACTGGGAGACGAATAAAGTGAGAGGAGTATACATTCACCAGTTATAAAGTGAGAGAAGTGTGCACAAGCAGTTCATTGTTTGAAACTAGAAGTACCTTAGACATTCACCAGTACTTTGAGTTGTACGATAACATTCTATTATCAACTCTAGGTATTCATGCCCTAAGTAGTAAGTACTAAGGGGGAGTTTGGTGTGATGGATAAGGAAATATAATCCTGCGATAAGTTTTTAGTACCCCTCAATTCTTTGTTTGGTTACAAAGTCTGGGATAACTTATCCCAAGATTAATAATTGTGACTGAGATAAGTTATCCCTATTTGTGGGTGGAATAGTAATACAGGTTAACTTATCTGGCATAAAAATGTACAATAACAAAAGTTTCCCCTTAGACCCGCTTTTATACATCACTTATACATCTATATACATTCACAACCTTCACTATTTGTTATTTTTATGAAAATATATTTTTTCATTAGAGAATTACACTATATAAATATAATTTTTATTTATGAATATATTATATGTCGAATTTATTTGACTAATTCTTATGTTTATTTATATTTTTATTTCTCTAAAAATGTTCACTCCACTCTTGAATCACATATTTAATTAAATAGTCTTTTAATCACTTGAAAATTTGTATTGATTTATGAGAAAAGACATAAAGTCACCACTAAAATTGTCTCGAATTTTCAAAAAGACACCTTAACTTTGTGAGTGTCCTATTACCCGGTTGAACAATTTAAGAGTGTTATAAATATCCCACTTTTCACCCAACCTCAATTGCAAGAAAGGAAGTGCAATCACCCACCAATTGTTGTTTGCCACGTATTAAATTTTTAAAATTTTTAATTTTTAGTTTCATTTTCAATTTCAATTTCAAGTTTTCCTCTTCAACCTTCATTACTCTACATGCCCCAAATGAAGAGAGGAGGCGTGAAATTTTTTAAATCCTCTTTCATTTTCAATTGAAAATGAAACTAAAGTAGCAGCCAAAAGATCTCCATTTTTCGTTTTGCAATTTTAAATCCTCTTTCTTCTTGAACCTTCGTTCCTCTAAAGTAGCGGTCATTGCCGCCTTCGACGTACTCCATGATGCTTCCCTGTTATTGCACTATTTCCGCCCCTAAATCATCACTAAAATTAGATTAAAATAGATAATGCAGTTCTATATTCAAACCAAAAATAAAAATAAAAATGGAGTTTCATAGTACTCTCTAATCAATCGAATAATGGAGTTCACATTTGTTTTTTTTTTAAAAAAAAAAATGAAGAAAAAGAAACAAAGAAAAGCAAGAGACAGGAAAAAAGTGATAAAAATGAATGAAGTAAATGAATCTTCTAAGTTGAAGAAGATAAAGAAAAGGTTATTGGGTTTTTGAATTTGGATGAAGAAGATAATGGAAAGGAATGAATTGAGAAAGTTAAAATAAAAAAAATAGATTTTTTGGGTTGACTCACGCCCCAAATGGAGATTGAACTACACTCTACCTGCCACCTAGGCTCATAATGGGACAATAAATTCATTAAAAATAAGAATAATGGGGTAATAGGACCCCCACAAAGTTTAAGTGTCTTTTTGAATATTTAGAACAAGTTCAGTGGTAACTTTATGTCTTTTCTCTTTATTTATCAATTAAAATGAAGATAACTTTAATATTTTACAATATGAGAGTGATATGTGCTTACATGAAGTGACATCAATAATAAAATCTCATTTACATTAACAAACTTAAGATGCAAGTTTTATTTTTAAGCTAAATAAGATGGAAGATTTATATTTTAAAACGCACGGCACAATCATGAGAATGCACATACAAAAATATTTAAGCTAAATAAGATGACAAATTTATTTTTAAGAATGAATAACTAAAGCTTGAAAAGAAAGTAACAAAAACTAATAAGGTGGAAAGTATTTATGTAAACAAACAACTTATTCTTAGAAATTATGCAATGCATATTATTTTGAATACGTTAAACCAAACAATCAATAAAATATAATCCTAACATAATTTGTCTTCAAACCAAACGGCCCCTAATTAATTTGAGTGTGAAGATGCTAATTTGAAAATAGCCTATTTTGCATTAAAAGTTAGCCATGTTACATGCAGAACAACAATCCATTATATCAGGCACATACCTAAGAACCTATTCTAACTTAACCGAACTAATTTCGGTTTGGTATGCACCAGTGAAGAACCAAAAATTGAAGTTCTGAAGAACCTAACCAAAGATCGGAACACCCACCCCTAATTAGCACCCTACATGATCTCTCTCTGTGAAAACTTAGGTAGAAACTTTGTGGTCACTAATGGCGTTTTTGGTGTAAAATAGAATATTTTTGTGCCCTCTCCCAAATGTCAATTTCTTTTTGTGGCAATAAGGTGAAATATTTTATGATATATTTGGGGGAAAATAAAATAAAATGGTAGTATCGTTTTTGATACATCTAGGTTATAGCTTGCACATTGGAATTGTCTTTTTTATAACTGTTCTATGCCAACTTTGACTAGGCTAATTAGTAGTCCCTCTATGCTGTTTCATATCATGTTTTTTGACTGGAAACAACGTTTTTAGATGATAATTTGTTTTATATATCATATTACTGATAGTGGAAGAAAATTTATAAAAATTAATAGTTGAAAAGTTAGGTTGATAGGAAAATATTAAAATCAGAGTTTAAAACTTAATATATTTATGAATTTGAATTTTGGAGAGTTGTGAATGTTTTATAAACGTCCCAAGATGCCAAGATGGGAAGTATTAGAAACTGAAACGAAAGGAGTTCTAGTTTTAGCGTAAGTAATGTTGTAGCTTTATATTGAATTGAAGTTTACAACTGTTTTAAAAATTAAAAGAAATAAAGAAATAACAAAATTTAGAATTGTTCATGTTTTGGCAAGTTATCAGTGAGGTATGGTCATTCAAAGTCATGCAGAAGTGTAACCTCGTTGTGTGGTGGGACAAGAGATTATAATCCCGGGATAAATTGTGGGATTATCTTATCCCATATTTATGTAGCACTTGTCACTTTTCAAGATTCAAACCATGCAAAAGTTGACCAACATTTTAAAATGTATTTTTTAAAATTATATTGACATGTGATGAATTCCAGCTTATATAGTTTTCTTTCGGTATAATTTTTGAATATCTTAATTTTAATCTTAAAATATTGAGTTGATCTATATTTAAATTTAGATATTCAAATATTATCCGGAGGGAAACGAAATTGACACATTTCATTCCCCCATGAGTCAATTTGACGAAAAGTGTCACATAAATTGTGATGGGAAGGGATTGCACTATTTGATCCTAGGATTAGCAATCCCGAGATTTTTTATACCACAATTATGGTATTATTTTACACCACGCTTCTTTTGGGATAACAACCCCGGAATAGAACATGTCAAATTTTCCTTATCCAAAGCTTTTCTCCCAAAGAAATAGAGCTTTATCTCCATTTCTCTTATTTTAAATCAAACATCTACCAATAAAAGTTATAATACACTATCCCATTATAACTGTATTATAATCTCGGGATAACTTGTTCCATAACCAAACGACCCCCAAGTTAATTAGCAAACACACTTGACAATATGGGTGCAACTCTATTGTACATTTTCACAAACTTCATTAACACTAGAGTTGAAATGTTCACCAATACCTTGCCATTTAAAGTTTAGGTCAACAATCTTTTTCCTTAGCACTCACTTCTGATACTTTGGTGATATGGCCATTGAAGAAGCTCTATGTTTTCGAGATGGTGATGCTCACTGAGATTCCCAATTCCGTTGTTTTTTTGCTTTTGAACCTTTTTTTTTTTTTTAGTTTCCTTTTTTCCTTTTCTGTTTTGTCTGGTTTGGGCTACTTTAGGGCCTTAGCTTGTAGTTTCATTTATTTTTAATAAAAGGATACATGGATCAACCTTTGATTTATTTTTTTTTAAAAAAGAAGATACTTTGGTGATATGCCTTTTCAAATTTAACATGGAAGTTGCTGTAACTCAAGGGATGATATACTAAACAAATGTTCTAATTGGGGATACCTTTTTGTTTTTACTTATTTTTCCTTTGATATATGTATCTTGTGTCTCAATGATCTCTTTGCGTCTTACTGATAAAAAACATATCTCTTTGCATCTTCGGTTTGTTAGATTTGGTGGATAAGTGGTCAATAATGATTTTTGGTTTATGTTGCAAACTTGTTTTGTAGATAACTATGTCAGCTGTTCGAGAATGGGCGGCTTCTCAGGGTGGTAAACTTTCAGAGGTTCAAAACCACCTGCCATTTTATTTATAGAGTAACTCCTTGTGCTTTATTTATTGCATTAGTAGTGACTGTTAAATTTTTCAGGCTGTAGCTAGCTGTGAATAACCTCGGGAAATGGAAAACAGCCACTCAGATGATTGCATTGACCATTCTCCTGCTAACCAGGTAACTTTTGTTTTCAGTCTCCTGTATGAATTTGGAGGAACAAGAAATTTTGATAGAAATCTGATAATACTTTGACCATGTAATTGTTCTCTTTAGTTTATCTGAAGCTGCCTCTCTTGTGGGTTCCGGTGTGATCTTGCTATATATATATCAGCGTGGCTTGCTGTGTGGTCTCTGTTCGTTTATATGAGAAAGATATGGAAAGTGTTATTGATGTAGTAGTCTTTTTCATCAAATACATATCGGCTCATGCTTCTTGCTGTTGAGTTTGTGGATCAATCACAAGCTATACATACTGATGACTAGAGCAAGGGAACGCCTTTTTCCTGATGCAGGCTGTGTTCAATGTATGGTTTTCCTCTACATTCTTTAGCCGAGAGATAATGAAGTCTCTCAACAGGAATTAGGATCATTGGACATGTAATCTGGATTCTAACTGGAAAATTTATAGTATTATGCAGTAAAGTACTTATTATCGTGTTTGGCTGGGTTGCACAAACTTGAATGCTTTTAGCCTGGCTGTTATTCATCCTTGAAAATCTCGTTCAACTACACGACCTACAATTATCTGCTGTGAGGTATTCTTTAACCAAATAAATAGTTTGGGTGTTGAAATATTCTTGTTATGGTCTCAAAATGCTATAGATACTCTCTTCCCTGTTTATTTGTGCCTCTTTGTTTTCTTTCTCAAATATTGGAATAAAGAGACCAGCACTTGTGCTCATCCACACAAACATGCAGCACATAAACAGCGCTAGTAATTTAGCTATGCTAATTGCTAATATGTTGAACTCTTACTTGTGTAAAGGTTGTGCTGCAAGTGATAACAAGTATTGAACACACTTCGACCAAAAAGAAGGGAAAAAACAAGTATAGAGAACTAGAAGTAATCTTCTATAATGACCCGACTACAAAACATGAGGACCTAAACCAAACTCACACAAAATGTAAATTGACATACAGATCAGGTTCTACAAAAAAGAAGACAGAGGCAGCGGTTAAAATTTGAGAAAATGATTCTTTCTTTCTTTCAGGAAAACACTTTATTACATTACTTTAAAATATGTTTCAGATGTCCATAAGACACCATTGCATCCGTTACAACACAACTTGGGAAGGCAGAATCCCAAGAAATTCTTGAAATAGAAATTTTTGCTAGATTGTGAGCTAATACTTTCCATGTTCGAGGAATATATATAATCTCGATTTCTTCAAAAGACTTCATCAATTGCTAGAGATCCTCGCAAATGGCCTCTATTTCCCAAGATGTTATCAAATTCTTTTGCAACATTTGTATGACTTTCTTTGCATCCCTTTTGTAGTGCTCTTTCCACAGCTTTCTGAATTGCTAGTGCTTCAGCAGTTATGGCCTTCCCTACAAATTGAATAGGGGTACCAAAGGCATGAAGCAAATGACCATAGCTATCTATAGCCGCCATCCCGATGCTTGCTTTTTCCTTCTCCCTTTGTAGATCTGCATCTGTGAAAACAACAACCCTATCTCATGCCAAAGTAATAGTTGCATCATAAATCTTGTTTGATATAGGATTCACAACTACCGAATTTTTCACAACATCGTCATATTCATGTAAATCAAATAAATCCTTGTTAACTACGTCATTAGGTTCATATGTACCACCATTAAAGAATAATGAATTTCTCGCTTTCCACATTTGCCATAAAAGAGAGACATTCAATCTTTGTAACTCAATGGATTCTGGATATTGACATGTATTACAAATTAAGGCATTCCACCATATTGCAAAATTCATAACATTTTCTACATTAGGCCAGTTAATGGGGTCAGTTTCCATACTAGTTGTGCATTTGGGCAACTGTAAAACATCTGATCAACTGTTTCAGTTTCTAAGCCACAAACCCTACAAACATCACAGTTTTGATGCAATCTCTTAGAAATATTCGTACTAACAGGAAGGACATTAAGAATGCATTTTCTAAGGAAATGTTTGTATTTGTTTTTAATTTTAAGTGACCATAAGAAAGTCCAAAAAGATTTTGGGAAAGCTTGACCACTGGCTTAAGGTTTTCAGTTCTAGGGTCAGTACTATTATCTAGGCTTTTCGCTAGATGATAACCAAATCTTACCTCGTACTTTCCTGAATTTGTATAATGCCAGATAACTTTATCAGAATTTCCAGTGGTAGATATTGGGATAGACAAAATAGAGTTGATATCATTAGGGCAAAAATGGTGATGAAGATCTTGAATATTCCATATAAGATGGTGTTGATCTATAAGGTCACTTACGTACCCTCAATTGTGGATTTATTTGTGGATGTCCTCGTAGGGGTTTGAAACCAATCGAATTAGGAATTCAAGAATCACTCCAAACCTTAATGTTTTCTCTATCTCCTACTCTCCATCAAACTCCTTGTTGCAACAAATCTCGTCCCACATAATACTTTTCCAAATCCAAGAACTTGCTGAGGGACATCTTGTACTTAGGAAAGAAGTATTCGAAAAATATTTACTTTTTAGCATCCTATGAAGCAAAGAATCCTCTTGGGTTAAAATCCTCCACGCAAGTTTTGTCAATAGGACCTAGTTAAATAGTTTCAGATCTCAAAAATCAAGGCCCCCTTTGGACTTTCCCTCACAAAGTTTTTGCCATTTTTCGTAGTGCATTTTCCTTTTCCCCTCATTTTTCCCCACCAAAAATCAGAAAAAATGGTAGTAATCTCCTTTCCTAAGTTATCTGGAAATTGAAAACATGATGCATATGAAGGAATAGAAGAAAGTACTGACTTAAGCATGACTTCTTTGCTTGCAGGGCTTAAGAAACTACTCTTCCAATCCTTTATCTTAGTTTTAACTCGTTCTTTGATAAACTCAAGCATTTCCTTCTTTGATCTTTCAACTACCGCAGGAAATCCTAGAAAAAGTCCCGAATTATCTCTATATATTTGTCCTAACTCCTATCTCCTCTATAATATTATCTTTTTCTTCCTCAGTAGTATTTTTGCTAAAATATATTGCTGATTTTTCAAAATTTAACTTTCTGGCGTGAGAAAAGTTCATAAGTTCTTAGAATTTTAGAAATTTTTACCGCACTTTGAGTATTAGATGAACAAAATAAAAAGGAGTCATCAACAAAGAAAAGATGATTTACCGTAGGACACTATAAAGATGAAACAAAGGAATATCTATATGTATATGGCTCAAAGGCTTAGTCCCAAATACTACCAGCTGACGAGATAGGCATCAGACAATCTTCTAACTTATCAATAAGTAAGGTGACTTCCTAAGCGGCATTCACAACAATCTGCATGCCATGTCAAAGAATAAGGTCGCCAACAAAAAGGTGAAACACCTTGAAACTCACCACCATAACTCAATAGGCATCGTAGTACTCTTTACTCGAATGTAAAACTATAACTCTAATTCTTTAATTATGTAGGCGTCAAGATAAGCCAAAGACGAGATATGTAGCTTATATTTATTACAATCACACTATTTTTATGCCAAACTAATTGTTATGCTGACAATATCAACATGAAATGCTAAGAAACTAATTACAAATCCCCTAACACATCAGCAAGGCAACAAGCTATCAATAGCCAATTAAACAACAATAATTTATAGGCAAAGATTCTTACTTCGCTTTTAACATGTGGCAGCATCTAAACAAGACTAATCCCGATAAGGGAAGCTCAAATGCATACATATATATGACTCCGGCAGCCAATTTCATTGATAACTATTATGGCTATAAATACTATAGCGATAAAGAATAAGTCATATCAACTATACGATGAAGAAACTTGCCAAAAAAGGTTTAGTCTCAACATATATTTTCCAACAATTTCAAGTGGTCTATCAACTACCGTACCCCCATCATACTATAATATGGCAGGAGCTCAATCAACATCAAAGATATAAGGTACTATGACAATTTGACAAAAGACACAAACTTTTACCGTAAAATAATACCCGGGGTCTAAAGTAGCTATAAAATGATAAAAAAAAAAGTTCTTACCTTGATATATACCCTCGTAATAGAACCAAGAACACCTTATAGGACCAATACCTTGCTGACACAACACCAACAAAGCTACACCATGTAATTCACAGAGAAAATTATACCAAAATGGCGAGCTCAGGACGTAGAGCAACTTATGTGAAGCTTCCGAGCTAGCAACACCAGTATACAAGGAGAATCCCTATGTATTAGATCTAATTTTTCTGGGTTTTTAGGTGAAATATCTGGATATAAAATGAAGGAGACAAGTTTTTATAAAGCTCTACCAACCTAGGAGGCCTGTCTCACGAGTCTGTTTGTCCAGTCTCACGGAAACACAAGTATCTCTCTATTTTGAAGTCTTATTGACAATCGATATGATGCATTAGAAACTAGGCTCGTAGATCTTTGATAGGTTGTGGGTCGTCTAACTCTATATGTGTGTGTGTATTGGTAGAAAAGCTCGGAGACTTTTGAACCCAATTTTTTGAAAATTTATCAAATAACTTGCAACAACTTTACACATTTCACTCATAAATATAATATTTTTAAATATTGAGGTTGGTAATGCTTTAGTGAGCAGATTCGCTAAATTATCAACTGAGCGGATTTGTTGAACATCTATTTTACCTTTATTCTCAAGATCATGAGTGTTTTTTTTTTTGGAGAAATGTGTTTTGTCATATCTCGTTTAATGTATCCTCCCTTCAGTTGAGCCGTACATGCAACATTGTCATAAAACAATGTAGTCATAAAATTCTGTTTTTTTTTAAAACCACACATTTCTTAAATATGTTGAGTCATTGATCCACTCTTTCGACTTACAATTCATGGATGACTATTAATTCTGCATGATCTGAAAAAGTAACAACTAATGTTTACTTCATTGGGTGTCAATATATAGTTGTGCCTCCATATATAAATAAATAGTATGCCTAAGATCGAGCTTTATGTGGATCAGACAAATATCTAGCATCTACATAGCCAATTATTTCTGACATGGATTCATTAGAATAAAATAATCTCATGTCAAAGGTCCCTCGAAGATATATGAATATATGTTTGACACCATTTCAATGTCTTCTTGTTAGGGAGGAGCTGAATCTTGCCAGTAAACTTACTGCAAAATATAACTATTTGATCGAGTATTATTGTCAAGATACATTAGTGCCCCAATGACACTAAGATATGAAGTTTCAACACCAAGAAGCTCTTCATCATTATATTGAGGTCGAAATTGATCC